GTTTTGTTCTTGTATTTCAAGCAGAGGACACACAGAGAAGATATATTTCACACTTCGACATAAAATGCAATATCCATTAAATCGCGTTACAGTCGGTATTTATTAGTGTCATACTGAGAACCTTCATAAGACTAAAAAACTACAGAGCTGATAGTGATATTAAATACTGTAAACTGTGACCAAAATTCCACGTATTGTAGATCGGAAATCAAATTTTGATAACATTTTCACACCTTACCAATTCGGGAGTTTTCTTATATGATAGAATCACAAAAGCAAATAAGTAAAGAATTTCTTAAGTATTTTTTATTCTTTTATTGCTAGTGGGGTGGGGACTAAGTCCCTTGTACTGCGGGCAATTCTGGCCTATTATACCAGCCCCAGATGATAGGTGAGGGTGATTGTGGAGCAGTTGGTGGAATGAAGATTGGCAGGGGAAACCGAAGTACTCGGAGAAAACCTGCCCCAGCGCCATTTTGTCCACCACAAATCCCACTTGACAAGACCCGAGATCGAACCTTGCCCGCCGCGGTGGGAAGCCAGTGACTAACCGCTTGAGCTATGGAAGTAAGTAATATAAAATACAGGGTATTTTTTTAACAAGAATACAATATTCGGGGTGTTCATAATATCATGTATCAGAGGGTCAGGATCATTTTGGTGAAATGTTTCCAACACCGGATTCTGATTTTAATAAACGAGAACCCATCGAAATTGACGTTAACAACGCCGTGCATTAGAGGGATATGGTAATTTAGGCGAAACGTTCCTAACATTGGGTTACGGTATAAAAACATCACCCTGTAGAAGTCGGTACGTGCAGGAGAATATCTTCTCATTTTCTTGCAATATCAGACAGTAGAAGACATGATTTATTAAGAGCTTAACACCCTTCGCATGCAATACATGGGAGCCATGTCCATGACATTCTGACCTTTAGAAAAGGTCACTCGGCTGAACCCTGAAATTATCTTAAAATCTCTCGTATCATATTAGCTACTGCACATTTCGTATTTTGCCTCCTACTGCACGTCCAATTTATTCTGGTCACATTTAATGCTGTGCCTATTTGAATTCACAACGATGAGTATGAATTCTGGAACTTTCCTGAAATGCTACCGTTACTTAATAGTTTCAGTTATGACAGTACGTTTTTCTATGTAAGCAGTGCAAATTTTTTTTTATTGCTAGTGTGGTGGGCCAAAGTCCCTTGTACTGCGGCCACTTCTGGCCTATTGTATCAGCCCCAGATGATAGGTGAGGGTGATTGTGGAGCAATTGGTGGAATGGAGATTGGCAGGGGAAACCGAAGTACTCGGAGAAAACGCGCCCCAGCGCCACTTTGTCCACCACAAATCCCACTTGACCAGACCCGGGATCGAACCGGGGCCGCCGCGGTGGGAAGCCAGCGACTAACCGCTTGGGCTATCGCGCGGCCCCCTAAAGGCTTATACTAGTGGCAGAGATGGGAGGATAAAGTGGAATAGTTCCAACCATGACAATTTTAATAGCTGTTGTTAATTGTATTGTTCAGGAACTCAGACATTCAGTCACCAATTATAAGCACTTTAATTTGGATAGGAAAACAGAATCTTCTTAACTACAGCTTAACGACAGCTCAAAAATATATGATCAGAATATAAAATAACTCCAACCTGAAGGAATAATAGAATTTTCAAATTTATGTAAAAAACGAATGCCAAACGCAGGACAGCAATTATGCGACAGAGCGAAGGAAGGTGACAGATGGCAGACGATCCCACTAGCTGAATCAGAGTGTGAATTGCAAATCATGACACACCAACTAAATATAAAAATAAATAACTACAAATGTGAATGGTCTGCTACCAAAACTAAACCTACAGAAATGTCCATTCAGTATCGTTCAGTGTAGTGTACATATATACATACAGATATACATATGGCCATGGAAGAAAAATCAGAATATAAGTATTAAAAGTCTGATCTTACATCATAGAAGTTACTTGGAAATAAAATTAAATTTACAATCCTATAAAGAATAAATTATGTTATTAGGGTAAATTTCTGTATACAAATGTTGTGAGAAATAAAATAAAACAAACGCAGTTTTTAATAACCAGTAAAAGACTGGTATTGAGAGGAAAGGGCACTGAAGACTGGAAACAGGACAAAAGAACGGGACTTGATATTTTCACAGCGTTGAAAAACTGGATTTTAGTCTTATGGGTTAGAAGTGCAGAGTAGCGCCGTGGGTAGTTACGAATGTTTAGTACGAACGTACTGCACCCAGCTTTAGGCTAAACCTTTACTTGATATTGCCAAGGCATGGCGAGTCTTCGGGTTTCGGTTGGCAGAAATAGCCTCCATACATGGTGGGTAGCGAATACGCTGAATAAGCAAACGCAGACAACATACAGAAGTTGGTTCTCGAGCTTGGGTGCTGGCAGCTCCACAAGGTGAGAAATAACAGGCTACATGAAATATTACACTGGACCTCACTATCTGCTTCTCAAACACGACGCTGTCCAAAGTTTGATTAGATACCCGACGACAGACTTGCACTAGAGAGACTGAAAGCATCTAGCATTACCAGCTGAAGGCCGTGCTATAGCTCAGGTGGTTAGTCGCTGGCTTCCCACAGCGGGGGCCCGAATTCGAGCCCGGGGTCCGGTCATGCAGGATTTGTGGTGGACAAGGTGGCACTGGTGCAGGTTTTCTCCAAGTACTTCGGTTTCCCCTGCCAATTCGCACTCCACCGATTGCTCCACAATCTTCGTCACCCATCATCTGGAACTGGTACAATAGGCCAAAGAGTGGCCGCAGTACTAAGTGGACTCAGTCTCACCCCCATTAAAAATAATGATAATGGGGCACGCGGTAGCGTACATGCTAGAAGGTCGCGGGTTCAAATCCCGATGTGGTCATTGGATTTTTTCAATTGATCTAATCCTTCCAGCCGCACTATGGCCCTGGGGTTAATAATAATAATAATAATAACAATAATACCAGCAGAACTGAAGACCACAAAAAAATCCGGCTACAATACGTATAGAATGAAGTCGAAGAGTATGTTAATCAAACAAACGAACTCCGTGGTTTTTAGTCCGCAAGCGAACTACAGCGAACGAGCGACTGCCGATTGTCGGCGAAGTCAGTGCCAAATTCAACCGAAAGGGGGTGTTGCGTGGTCAGTGCAACGAATCCCCACGGCCGTTAATCTCGGTTTTTTTGACCGGAGCCGCTACTTTTCCATTGAAGTATCTCCTCAATTATCCTCACAAGGCTCAGTGAACCCCGTTCCAGCCCCACTACTTCTCAGAAAATCTGCTAGCGCCGGGAATCGAAACCGGACCTCTGGGTCTGTAGCCAGGAACTCTGACCCCAGACTACAGAGGCGGTCATAGTATGTTAATAGAGACTGCAATACAAACCCATGGACTTAAACAGATCTTGTACACCCCAAGAAATGATGTGGAGACCATCTATAATTAATTAATCTCAATTCCAGTTTTATTTGAATGGGAGGTGTTAACAAAACTGTCTCGCGTACCAGTTGTCCGCCAACATTGAGTCAGGTAAAAGGCGCATTCGACTCAAAGTCTTCATGCTCTAACTAATCCCTTATCTCCACAGACACTGTTGCTTCTACACCGTTACTGATAACTGAATGGGCCGGTCTTCTAAGGGTTGCAGTCTGTACTAATCCCAATTAAAACATGCCTGTTATAATTTGGCTGATATTACAGAATTCTTTCCAACCTGTATATTGGATTAAATTCTGTCTCAATTACCACAGTGCGCCCCCTCTTCAAAAGCTGTATTTCCATCACCTCAAACCACTTGCGGTCAAATAACTTTCAGAATTATACATAGAGGTGGGCATAACTATGTATTTCAACATATAAACACACATAAACCACTACAGGGATGTCTCAAGACAGGATGAAATTGATGTTGTAAGTGACTTATATTATCCCATTCGAAAGAAACGACCTTCTACACCACACAGTGAAAAAATATAACAGTCTTTTCTTCTATTCAAAATTGGCTCCTCCGTCGTATAAGTTTTAACTGCTAAAGATATTTCATGATAAGATCCATTTCAAATGACTAGTGTGGAAAAAAAATTACACAATTCATTTTTAAGTTATGCAAAATTTTATGTTTATATTGGACGACCGTGAATATTACCGTTTGAAGATGAAACATGTTGGACTTCCCAATTGTTGTATTTAATATAATGTAAACAGTACACCTGCAATAATAAATAATCTTGTGCAAAAAAATCATTACTTTTGTGTTTAAGAAATTTCATGTAAATTACAAGATAAAGGTAAAGTGTTCCCTATATTTAACTAATGGAGCACAATGACATGAAGACGTATGGGGAGTGGAAGTATAGCTCCACAATTCTTTACCTCAGCACTAGGTGTGTAAATGGTCAACTTGAGGTTCCAACAGCTATACCCCTTAGAAGAGAGCACTCTGTACCCAACGGATGGGAGGTCGGGTGGGCCCAGAGCCGGTCTGGTGGCTACGGAGAAGAGAACGTATTACCCCTGCCGGAAATCGAACCCCGCCCATTCAGCAAGTAGCTCTTCGCTATACAGACTGACCTATTCATTTCATCTTTGTTTATATAGATGCCTAACAGTGAAGCATAGAACAGTCCATATTCATCAGTTATTCTAATCTGTCTTTATTCACAGCTGCAGATTTCTGAATTCATGTACCTTACTGTAATTGGTTTTGAAGCTCATGCCTTCGTAATTCTATAGACGTAAAGTATCACAATTGCATCGCGCTGCAATTCAGGCAGCTTTCTATGAGTGACCACATGTACACAATCTGATGATTTGAAAACACGAAACATTACATAACCACAGTGTAGCACAAATTTAGGTATAAAAGGCGCTAGAAAATGTTTCCTATAGGAGCCAGAAAACGTGGATGCACAGGAGCAAGTTATTATGTGTTCCCTTTTGACAGTAAAGCACAGCAAACTCAGAGAGACTTACATGTTAACATCCTCCAACAAGTAGCGTCCCAGCGTCACAGTGTCCGCCACCAACACACGGCTTATCGCCTGCAACTGCAGTAAGTTATATTCTCTTGCACCTGGCAGTGGTCACCATATCTGTCGGACTGAGAGGCAGGTTCTTGATCTACACATTACACTTCAAGAATTGGATTTAAACTTGCTGAATAAACTCCAGAGAGTGCTGTATCGCGTTCTGTGTCGAAACTGTTTTTTCACTGAACAGCGTTAAAACCATATAGAGTGCAACATACCCTGTTCTGTTCCCGAGTCAAATATCGATTTATTATCGATCCTTCTGCACGTCTCTTCTTCTTCTTCTTTCAAATCTAGAACTAAATAAGTAACGAAATATTCTCCCCCTTGTTCTCGAATCTGATATCGATTTGCTATAGACTTTTCTGTACACCTCTTCTTCTTCTTCTTTCAATTCGAGGATTTGATACTGTAATATCGTTTTGAAACTGCTTTCTCCATTTACTCCTGGGTGTTTCCAAATATAGCTCTCCTTAGCAATGCCACAAATACTCTAATTTTAGTAATCCACGAGCTTCCAACTTGTTTGTCGGTACGCGTTGTTTCCAGTTAAATTGATTCTTCTTTAATTTTTCTGCCATATTCTTAGCTTGCAATAAATCTCGTGTTTTTTTTTTATTTTATATTCTGTCTCGCAAAGGTACTCGTAGCAATATATATATATATATCATTCTTCTTTCTCTCTTCCTCATAACCTAAGTCTGTACTTTAATGTGTTACAAGGGTCCTTCAAGTGCAACAAGTTTAATATGAGTAAAAGAAATTGCCTTCACATATTTCGGCCATTACGTGCCACCACCAGAAGGCAAAGACAACACTACAAAGATTTTCTTTACCTGTGTTATGAACACAGGTTGTCATAAGGGGATTTCAAAATTAAAAATCGTGACTAGCTTAAAATATTAATGTAATTAAAATAAGATATATTTTTAAATAATTAGTCGGTATCAGTTAAAAGTAATAAAAATACATTATACATAAATTTAACCACAACTTCATTCTTATACTGTTTACGTGAATATTTTGTGTGGTTGACCGTATATTCGTCTGTGCGACACTATGTGTGTGCGTTCCGGTGAATTGTGTCTTGGTGTGCGGGAAGTGCCATGGTGGACGAGACCTCGACTTGTCCTGCACACGGTCACTTCCTTAACACGCAGGTGCTGCACAAGCCAGCTTTAACACACATGAAACAGGACTATTCACTAAGGATATCAGTGAATCCAACAAACCCATCCCCCCTCCATACGAAAAATAGTGTCGATAAGAACTCAGGCGAATCGTGAAGTGAACAAAGTGTATTATGACATGGTTACAAGGTCCATTACGAGGCAACGGCTAACTGAACAAGTACGGTTAGGCGACAGATACACACGCAACAATAGAGGAAATGTTTGAAGCGGTGTTTTCTATAAGGTCTGTACCGAGGTTATACAGCGAAAGCCTCCGAGACAGAACCGGAGGCCGGGAGTTGCGGTTGACAGAGATCCGTGAGGGAGTCGGCCGGCCAGCGAGGACAGGAGCCGTTGCGCACGGAAGCAGTAGAGGGAATCCGCATTATCAAAAGCCACTGCCAAGCAACGGGTACGTGAAGGTATAGCGAATTGAGAAAAATTAACGTGTGCTGTAGTGATTTGATAAGAGCGTCGATTAGCGATAGCGTTGTAATTATGTACAGTTGCGAGTTCTAAGTTTTCAATAAATCCAATTACCAGTCCAAACCCCATGCCTAGTCACTAACACGTGACAGTATTCAGTGACGCACATTCACATAAAGCACTCAATATCTAAAACTTTAGTAAAATAAATGCGATATTAACCAAGAGATAAAAAAACAACCCATTATGGAATATAAAAATGTACATATAGCTTATAACACACCGGTGGATCCACTGGGTTTATATGGAAGATTTAAGCTAATTACATGATAGAATAATTGTAACTACATACAAGACCGGAAGGTGGCACACATATGCCAAAACATGTCGCCCTAGACAACAAAGACCACCTGCTAGAAGTAATGTTATATTGAATAATAAATATTAACTGTAGTGCTACGGAAATGTCTTCGATGTCCGATGGTTGGCAATTTTTATTACTGCGCTAACATTTATACAAAAGGACTAAGAAAACTCAGATGAACCTGAGCCAGAATATCTGAAAATCATGCTGAATATTAAAACAGGATTCCATAGACTACGAAGCAGGAATATCACTTGTTTGATTGTTTTTTTTTAACACAGAATAGCCGAATATTTTGATTGTGTACTCGTGATCCGAAGGTAGAAAATGTTCCTGTTCTTGAGGTTGTCACTTCTCTCCTTCAGCTCAAGCAAATGATCACAATTTCGTTCCGAATAATGAGAACGGTCACTGTTCAGTTGATAAATATAAATGTGAATACTCTTGAGGACATGAAATAACTCCTTGGCCTGTAGTTCGCAAGCGAACTATACCGACCGAGCGACCGCGGCTTGTCGGCGAAGTTAATGCCAAATTTTGCAGATAGAGGGTGTCGCGTGGTCAGCGCAACGAATCCCCACGGACATTAATCTCGGTTTTCTAGATTGGAACCGCTATTTCCTTGAAATGGCTCCTCAATTATCCTCGCGAGGCTGAGTGGACTCCGTTCCTGACCCATTACACCTAAGAAAATGTAGTAGCGCTGGGAATAGAACCCGGGACCTCTGGATCTGTAGCCAGGAAATAATTCCCTCTAGATGAGTGCAATTTATATAATACAGAATGTCCCAAAAATGTACTCACTCTTTGACGGGACCACACTTTGAAGAGATGTTTGGGGATGCAGAGGTTTACTTCCAACAAGACGGAGCACCTCCCCACTACCTTCGTGAAGTAAGGGCCTATCTCGATACAACTTTGCCGGACAGATGGATTGGGCGAAGAAGTAGCGTTGAATAACCTGCGCGTTCACCGGACCTCACACCCATAAACTTCTTTCTATGGGGATACCTCAAAGATAAGGTTTATGTCGCAAAACCAGCAACAGTCCATGAGTTGAAAGAGAAGATTGAAAGACAATGTCTTCAAATTCCAAATGAAATGCTTCGTACACTTAGTGATTCCATTGTTCCGCGTTATCAGCTCTGTCTGGATAATGATGATCATCAGTTTGAACATTTGCGAATACGCATGATGAAGTAGACTTGTTTTCTTCAATTTAAATCAATAACCTTATATATATTTTAAATAACATTGCATTTGGTGTCATTAAAAGAGTGAGTACATTCTTTGGGACATTCTGTAGATATCTGACCTACGTCAAAAATTAGAAAGTGACAAAACAAACAACGTTTACGAAGCATGGCTCAGTAGACAAATTTAAATTCAGTGCAATGGCGAAATGAAGAATTTTACGATAGACTGGACCTATAGCTCGAACGGAAACAAGAAATGCACACAGAGGTTTGGTAGTGGAACCATCTGAAATATATAAAAGGAGATGGGACAAATAAATTACATTATAATCTTAAATATGGGACGATCGAGACACAATTGTTAAAAATAAGAGTGAAATATTGTTATGGTGTCTTTTTTTTTGTAAACAGGTTATAATCATACAATTTCTTTATTAAAATCGTCACAACACAACAGATATCAAGGTCAGTGCCAAGTCTGGCTCTGCTACATGTTTCGGCTATTAAAAGCCATCATCAGGCAAATACAAGGCTAACATATATACACCACTGAACTGCAGTACTAGTAAAATTGGATACAATAATATTAATTATATTAAAATTTGGTGTAAAAATACAATAAATTAGACTATATAAAACAAAAGTTATATTATAAAACAAGAATAAAATTCTTCGAGTGATGCTTTACGTCGAGTCAGTCGCTGGATTTTGTGATTTTGTTGTGTTCCCACGGACAAATTGGGGTATTCTACAATTTTGCGTAAATATAGTAAACTATTTTGGAGGCTCGTGATGTAGATGTAGCAATATTAATGTTAATTATTTAGTCGGTGCCTCATCTTACAAAGTATTGTCCGTTCTGTAGGGAATGTAAAAAAAACTATAATCATTTTAACGCTCAAAGCGGAAAAAGTGCATCCTGGATCGCTAAGCAATAGAAGTTTGTCTATTTCTCTCTCGCTCTCTCTCTCTCTCTCTCTCTCACACACACACACACACACACACACTACAACTAATACAATTTTCTGCCACACTCACAAAAATTTCATCTATTTCTACCATATAATCTGTATCCTTTTCGTAATAACAGTTCTTCAGGTTTGGTTGAATTTAATGGAAGAATTGACAAATTATTTTCTTCCGTTTAAAATACTCTCCTGGTAATTGAAAGTAATAAATGATTACATGATAAATAAACATGTTTACAACTGTTAAACGAAATCGCTTTTGGAATAATGATTGTAATGAAATTTGCAGCCGTGTGGAAACTTGTTAAGGAATTACAAATTTACAGAGAACATCACTGATCAATTAATATTTTACGTCTGGCTCTATATTTTCCTGGAACTGGCACACTATTATGTTAATTAAATTCTATTTTTTTATATCGTTCCCTTTCAGTTACACTTTCCGAGAAAGTTCACGGAATATGTCAGCAGCAAATGTCCACTTTCAACTTGTTTGAGAGGGCAGTGTCAAGACCACACTAGCAAGCTTAGCTTTCACGGCTACTATAACCATTTTCAGAGCTGTCATGACTATTTCATATAAAATATAACACGATTATTAATGTAATACTAGAAATAAATTTCAGGCTGTAATACTCTGATTTTGAAACAAGTTTCAGCTTCACGGGCTGGAAATCACAGCAAAGCGTGACCTTGTCATTGAGTTTTCACATTCACAGACAAAAATGTTCGAAACACTGGTATTCGGGAAACGTGTCTGCCTGTTTTTACAGACTTAGCTTGCAGTTCCCATACCGCATATGTTTAACACGGAATGACAAAGATCACAATGATTTATAGGCCGATTTAGGCAAGATGGATAAAGGATTTTATATTTTTTTTCCTTTCATCTCCAGTTCTAGCCATTGCATATCTATTATTTCAAGATTTTTGCTGGCCATATGCATCCCGCTT